CCCAAAAGAAAAAAAACCACCCCAGGAAGAAAAACCTCTTCTTTCTCTTCATCGTTTACATTCTTCACATGCATTTTGGAATAGTGCAAATATGTTCAATCAAGACATTGACTGGTGAAAATACTCTTATCATTTAATCTCAAATTTACAATGTTGTTTAGGGAGAAGAAGAAAAGAGGAGAAAGGGAATCTCAGAAGGCCAATGAGGCTGTCACAAAATGCTTGGGAGATTACCAATATGCTGGGAGGTAAGGCAAAGATCATTTTGTCCTCCTGCTTGGACCTCATTGACTTGTTTCACTAATGAAACAGTCCATGTATGATAGAGTTCAGTCTCCAAAGCTCAGGCAAGTTATATTAGAAAATCGAAGTTACCTTCAATGTTTTGTTATTACAGCAATTGAGGTATATCCCAATGTTCATTATTTTCTGGTTAAACAGAGTAGCTTTATTGTTGCAAGTATCTCTATTATATTTGTAGATAAGACCTCGAGTAGTGAAAAAAATCAAGATTTGCTCAGCAGTCATGCTTCTCATTTTCTTTGGTTCTGCTTTTGTTTCAGCTATCTATACGTTTTAGTTGGCAAACTAATGTTCGTTGATTATCAGAGTACTGATAAAATCAGATGAACTCTGCTGTAACAATTCACAATGTAGAGATAGCTCTTCAAGTGGGTGCGTATTCATACTTGCAGAAAATTTGTGAAGGTAAAATAGTAATTATATCTGCCACCTTATCCTCGGAGATTAGGGCCTTTACGTATACTTTAGAGAACATCGTCAGTTATTTGATTGCAGATTTTATAGTTCCATTTGTGTTTTTCTAAAGACACGTTCTTAATTAAGTTAGGCAAAATCTTAGATTGGGAGTTAAATTTGTTAGTTGCTTAAGGTATCCACAGTTGTCTTAAATCTTGAAATGTTACAACGTCTACTTCAAAATAATACTCACATTTTTGAGACCGTCCCATTTACAGTGATACAGAAATTTCCCATGGCTGAAATGCCACTAAAATCTGTGGTCACTTACATTTACAAGGTTGGGATTAGTACAGTGCTTTAAGTTTAAACCATATTACTATATACCAAGACTGAAATGCCACTATAATATGTGGTCGTCATACTCCGACTTTAGATTGAGTAGAAGCAAGTATGCCCGAGACACATGCTCCATTCAAACTTGCATCTTTGAATGACATTCCCGATCTGTCACTTTTGGTAGAGAATGCAAGTTTAAAAGTCATAATGCTCGGCTTAAAGAAATTGGCATATAAGGCTAGATGGATCATTTCGAGCGACTCCTTAATCATACACTAAAGTCGTTAAAGTTGCTCCTTTACACCACAAATTGGTCAGGAAATTTTCTATCAAAACCTCTAAAATATGAATGTCGTTTAAAATCCGACATGGCGCATCTCCTATACAGCAAAAGGAATACATCCTCGTCTCCTATACAGCAAATGGAATATAGAGCTAGCTGAAAACAAAGAGGAATTATGAAATTAACTGAGACGAGAAACATCGACCTCATCTGGAATTTTGAAAGTGTCTGCTGCCCCAAATTTCCTCCTTCCTTCATCGACCGAGTTTTCGTCATCACTATCATCATCGTCAGCTTCATGATTGAAATGACTTGAGGGATCGTGTATACTTTTGGCTCTGCAGTCATGAGTAGCAAGCATCTTAACCTGGCCAAGATGAGAAATTTCTACCACAACGGTGTCATCATCTTCAGGTAGGGGTTGCTTCCAGGGTTCCCCATCTATCCTCATAAATGTATGGTCAGCTGCACCCTTGTGAAACTCAAATCGGATTCTATGTGCCTACAAATAGGAGCAGCTCAGTTTTTAGGATGAATAATAAGTTGTTGGATTACTCTATCAGCTCAATTTTTTTAAGTCCTGTCTTGCTATATAAATATTTTCATTTAACAATCTTGAACCAAAAACATTTGATCACTAGTAGTATCACAACTTCTCATCGGTCGGCATACAATATTCACGCAAATATTTGTAATAACCATAATTTATTCCTAACCTGGGCAAGACGAGTCCCATGTCCTTTTGGAGCAAGAAGGACTAATCCGTGCCAAGCATCTCTGAATCCAACAACCTCAAGAAGGCCATCGTCTACAAATGGAGGAGTCAAGTCCCTCTGTCCAATGAAGAAATATATGCACGTCAATATAACTAAAAAAGTATTAAAAAACTTCAAGAAATAAATAATGGTAAAAATTTATCCACGTCCGGTGTTTATGTCAAACCAGTAATAACATGATGTGTCTTCCGCATAATCTTTTATCACCTAACTATGATTAGTTAATATGGATTTTCACCTCAATCATTACTTAACCATGAGAAAGTACATTGATTTGGTGTAAACACCGGATGCCGGTAGATAACCCCCACCCGTCTCCCGCCCCCCTCAACCCCTAAACGAATACCGAATGCGAAGAGAAGAAATAAACTAAAGACAAAAACAGTCAAGGAAACAGAAAAAGGGGCAGATTGGTGGAATTATTTTTTTTGGAATAACATACATATCGGCGTTTGTTGCTATTCGGTGTTCCCCAAGGATTTAGTCCACCGGAAAAGCTAGGCAAGTTGAGGCATACGATTGACCTGACACTGGACAACAAAGAAAGAACAGTTACAACTCGTAAACTCATCAGTAGGTTGTTCGTCGGGAACCAACTTCATTAAGCATGATAAAAGCAGTAATGCAACCACAAATAGGTTACAGCAAAACAGCCAAAATATTCTATTTTGAAGAATAAAGCAGAAAAGTAAATTGTCAAGTCGTCATTTAAGGTTCCTATACTACAAGTAACTAATACTACCTGTGAGGGATGTGAAGGTCTTGCCATTCACCCTGCTTTCTCATTATCTTAACCTTAGTCAGTTGAGCTATGTTCCTACAGTAAACCAAAATTAGCAGCTAACGGAAATCAGTAAATTGTCATAGTTGTACCATCATAAGAGATGATAGTGAAATATTCAATCCAGAAGTAATTAACTTGAACCGTCTTATGACACAAATTATAAACGGGAAAAATACTGGTAGGAAACTAATGACAGGTGCACAATTTAGTAGTTATCTCATTCTATCCCCAAGTTATTGTCATGGTTTACCGGGCAAGGGAAATAATGCAAGACTTCAAGTTTTCTGACATTGTCATGTATATAGGAACAATCAACTTGTGTAAATTTAGTATATGAATTGCTAACAGTTAGCTAATCATTATATTGATAAACTACTACTCTACTCTGTTAAAAAAAACATGTTTTTTTGGAAGAAATTACACTATTTTAAGATTGGCCTAAAAAGAAAAGATATTTTTAATCAGAAACGAGGGATATCTCACTAAGTTACCAAGAGCAATCATCAAGTTACAAATTCCTACTTTCCATGTTTCCGACAAAAAGATTCAAGCAAATTTACATGGATATTTAAAGTTAGCGCATAAGAGCAAGGATTTGAATTGATTTTAAATAAAGATTACAACTTACAAGACATGCTTTTGACAATCTGGACGAAATTATAGAAGTGAATATGTCAGTCTCGGGAGTCTAAACTATGATGATTATTCCAATTTTCATTCATCTGTTGAAAAAATAATTAGGTGCTGCGTGCCTCATGCCTTCAAGGAGGTGAAGCTTCCACAAAAAAGAATACAGTTTTTTTTAAAATAAGATTTGGAAGGAGTTATATATACCAAAAACTACACTGCAGACTCACCTCGAAGAACGATGAACGAGAGGGGCAAAAAACCATCCTTGTGTACATCCTAGCTTTAAATATGCACTCTATGGAGCAAGAAAAATTAGCATTAGGCACCCCTTCAAATACTATCTAGTATCTACTCTGAAACAATAGATAATCTCAGGTAAATTGGATCATCTACAGAATTCTAAGAGATGCTGTAACACTACCTCAAGAACAAAAGAGGCAAAATCACTACATTTGACTTAGGATAGAGAAACCATGAATTCTATTTAGTCATTAAATTCCTAGCAAAAAATTTAACATGGTATGATATGGAAATCATAAACTGTTATGTTTTCTCAGGAACCTAACAGTGGCATTTCTCACTTTTCTCCAAGGGTCCTTACCACTGGGATATCCGTCATTTATCTTCAGTACCAGTCATTGCAAATTGCTTTACTGTACATCATTATCATTAGAGCGAGCGAAAGAAGTAGAATGGTAGACTATGTCCTTAATTACGAAACAAAAGGTGAACAAAATTATAACTGATCAACCTCCAAGAGCCGAAATTTGCCCCATATACTTGAGGCATCAACACAACTATCATTCATGAGAGTTCCATATTAAAGAAATTACTAAATGTAGTTCCCAACCATAATAGTTTTGGTTACTAATTCACTAGATTATCCTTCTGTTTTTTCCTGCTTATGATAAACTCTCAAAGTAAGCAAATGCTCCCTGTAATCATATGCCAATTATTTCTTTAGAGATGCCGAGGATAATCTAGTCACTTAGAAGCCACAGCCATAGAGATACCAACTACCAAGAAATGAAACCTATTACTAATATGGATCTCTAGAAGCATGTACCACCTAAGATAAAGTGGATGACTGGAATTATGACATTAATTCACAGGGAAAGTATTGGGAAAAAAAAGAAGATGAGATTCTGAAGAATAGTTTCCAGAGGCATAATCAATTTAAGAAGGACAAAGTATAATGATGAAATGAAACGACATACCACCAGTAGGCAAAAGCGCCATATATCTTAGTCTTCTCACAGATGTTCCTATATCCTAGTAAGCATACTACCACCTACTTCCTCTGTCAACGTATTTAAGATAAGGAAAAACAAAACCAACTAGGATGGACCTTAATCAGTTTCCTAACCTTTTCTTCCAATCACCCACATTGTAGCAATTAGCATCCAAGCATAGGTACTCAAAATGACTTCAGGACAAGCCCATACTCGTGTATTTTTTGAAACATTAGTCTGGTGGACAAATTTAGAAGTGCTTTAGGCTTCAAGAATAGTTCGAGGGAGATATACATAAACTAACTAAAAATCAATAAGAAGCATTAGACGCTTATCTCAGAAAATAGGGAGGAAATAACACGTTTTGCGTAGTTTTACAAAGATAGCACGTCAATTACTTGGTTTCCGCAGATTGGATACACTAAGTTTTTCAAGAAAAGATGCAATACATGCATATGGTAGTTTTCTTTGATCTATCATATATTCTCATCTTCCTCAACAGCGGAGATCGTAAAGCTGGAGTGCCATTGACTCAAATTTCTATAAGCTAATACCAGTACAAAGTTAACACTAGAAGCTATTTCACTTATAGCCTTCTGTGTTATAGAACATAACCTATTAAGCCTTACAAGATATTATGGACAGAAAATCTTGACCCCTGCGGACAAGAACCCAACCCTAAATCTTCAACTATCTGTTTTGTCAGAGCAGTCATTAATTTGAGAATAAACTTGTTTCTCTTCTAGATAGAAACAAAACAAAAAGGTCCATAAGCATAAGACTAGGAAACATTTACTTCATTGATAATTCGTATGCAAAGATTCAGAGAAATAAACCAAAGAGAAGCAGTATCATCTTTATTTTTGTCATTCACTTTACTACCTGATTGACAAGTTGGTTTTTGAATTTCTCTGGGTTCATTTTTCGCTCTGAGTGAAATGCATAAGATACTTGTGCATCCATCCCTGTTAACAGAGAATTACTGTTAGATGTAGTATTAGATGAATAATAGCACAAGCAAAGAAATAACTTCAGATCATAGTCTTTGTAGGTTTAAGACACATACCCATAGACATTTTGTTTTATGTCTATGGGAATTTTATGTTCCTAGTCATTCTATTATTGTCATTCACGAAAATCAATTACTAATACAGGTCAAATTAATATTGTTTCTAGTAAACATCTATTGAGTCAATTCACCGACCTTTCAAGTTTGCTGTAATTTGAAGGACCTCCTTTCTGTTTTTCTTTTAAAGTATTTATACTATGAAAAGATTCTGGAGGAGTGGCACTTTCTCTAGAATGAAATTTGTCGGCTCAACTTTGATATAAGAATTAAGATGAGGCAAATATGGGTATTTAAAACACCTACCTGGTAAATTAACTCAGAACTAACAGTCAAACTAATAATTGATTTACAGAAGGGGAAAAATGAGAGACCAAACTCAGTATAAGGTTTCTATATCTATCAGTATCAACTATACCTCAATTTTGAACTAGGTGGAGTGGGCTACATGAATCCTCTATTGGTTCCGCTCTACAAGCTCATTTCATTCTAAATTCGTATGTTAAGGCAAATTAGAAGTTTTCTAAAACTAGAGGTTATAAATCCCACGTGCATACCTACTCGGAGCTAATGTAATTGTAACAACAACTAAGCCTTAATCCCAACTATTGAAATTAGCCTATATGAATGCTCTGCTTCCATTGTGTTATGTACTAATTTAAGTCTGCTTGATTCCAAAAGATTGTAGGTCTTCAGAAATAACTTTCCTTCCTGTAATTTCAGGTCTGCCTCATCCTCTTTAGCAATTTTTTCACTCCCCCCCCCCCCCNTAAATACCAAAGTATTGCATCTATGGACTCAAGCATTTACGATGTACGTAAGACATGGTTAAACTCTCCCACCCAACATTCTTCCATTTTATCTTCCATATAAGCTGTTTCCATCCTCTGGTTGATGTGATCATGTCTAACTTTGTCTAGTTTTGTATGATCTACATTCATCACATCTCAGTATTAGGATACTCATCTTGTAAATATAGTGGACCCAACATCCACTCCCATTAAATTTTGTTGATCTTACACTTAATGAAGGTTTTTAGAAATTTTAAAATTACTGGAAATTTCCCCAACGTTATGATAAATTACATAAGAGGTTATCGTCTGGCATTGAAAGAATTATTACCTTTGATTGAACAAACAATGCATGAGAGAGAGAGAGAGAATTTACATGTAGCAAATTTAAATGTTGAGAACAATCCAAAGACCATTTTCTACCTATGTGGATCATATAAGAAAATATAGTTACGTCTAGTTAATTGATATATTTGATGCAACACATGACAGGAAAACATTTGTCTTGAGAACTCCTTATTCTGTACATTCACATAAGGTAATTCTAGCTTTTGAAGATCTTGAGCTACTCCACGCTAAAGTTTCAAGTAAATGCTATTTAAAGCAATGTGCATCCTCACTTCAGAGGGCTTGTGGTGGAGAATTTAACCATCTCACTTCGCGTACCCATCTTTCTGACACGCTCCTAGGGTATCGTAGCATAATCCCTCTTTTCATCGAAGAACTTATATACATACAAGAGGGATGATTATATTGATTGTGTTAGTTCAAATCTATCTTTCCTTCGGAACCTTGGCAAAGGTTGTTTGCCTAGCCAAGAAGGATACATTCATTCTCTAGCATTATCACTCAAGTCTTGGACTTGATTCTGTGTTGTCTTTGATGTCTGATATTATGGTAATCTAATTCCAAACCAGCTGCAGTACCTAAGCTGTCCTTCACCACATTACCCATTCCATAAATAAGGGGCCCTTACAATAAGTCCCTAGATTAGGTTTGATAAGCGCATTCTTACACTTGTAATTCCAATTTTAAGTCCACTTGTGAACTCCAGAATCGAATAACACGTGTAGGCGGGGGTTAGAGATATAAACATCAGGTATAAAAGAACATTCAGAGGGTTTATTAAAAATCTTGAACTACTCAACTTATTGCCGTGGGTGTTTAGATTATTTTTCTATTTGATATACAGCTGCTCAATCATTTATAAAGGTATTAATTATCCATTCTACCTTATTCTATACGATATTGTTGTACTGGGCTTACAAAAGTGAAGATGTTAAATGACTATATAGAATTTAATTCCAAATCAGAAGAATATGCACTTACCCATGCTGAAGTAATTCCAGAAACCTCCACGGAATGTATGGAAACCTTCCTGTATTTATTAGGTCAAAAAGAGAAAGCAGTTATCCTCTTCATCCGACAGGGTAACACTTTGAAACAGACCAAGCTAAGAAATTTGTAATTCCAAAGCCAGACATTACGCATTCATGTTGATAGAGATGTATGCATGCATACTGATAGACATATACACATGTTCACTTTTTGTTCTTAATCAATGTGAATGCATTTGAAAATGGAAATGCCAAAACGGAAAATCTTATCAGAAAATGCCCCACCCTGGACTTCATATGATTATCCAACTACAAGAAAATACACAAGGAAACTCCACGGTAAAGTAATAAATTTAATGATGCAGAGAAGATACTTGTAAAAGATACTGATTCTTTTACATATGTTTTAGTCTTTTAAATAGCATTCAGATCAGCATGGTAAATTCTCAAATTTTCTTCTCTTGGAAGATTATGCTTGAAAAACTTAATGCAATGAATAACGTCCAAAAATGTCAGATAATACGTACTCCAGATGATTAACAATGATGATATCTCTATTCAACCATATCCGTTTTTCCAATTTGAAGGCGCATACCTTTATATATATGTAAAGTGCTGAAATTCAAATATTATGTCAAAAATGATTGTTTCGCTATTTCTGAGACACTATTCTAGCAACTTTTTACAATTATGGTGATTTTTTAGAACTCTTTTTTTTCAAAGCAAGTAAACTCATGATGTAGAATATTCTTTAAAATCATGTTATTGTTGAAAGTCGAGAGTATCATATACATAATGAATAAATTATTTGAAATGATTACGTTATACTAATTTAGAATCCTTTTCATATCACTTAACTCCTATATAAGATGTAATGACCAATTTCAATTAACAAAACACTTAAAAGTGACACCTAAATCTATCATGGAGCAGGACTTTACACAAGCAGAACCAGGTTTAGTATACTATCAGCAAAGAATATAACACAAAAAAAGAATACAAGTGGCAAGGAACTTATGCAGATATAAGAGATGGAGCTAGTCTACATGAAAGTGTGTGTTCGTCTTAGAGAAGACAAATTTCTTTTAATAGATAAGGAAGTCTTACCACATTCAGTTCATCAGATGGAGAAACCCGGTGAAATGCATGCAAAGAATGAGGCAATTCAAGCGGTGCAATAGGATCACAAGAACCACCTTTTGGTGCTCTCATCCTCATAAGAATGTGCCAACTGCATAAAGCAAATTTCTTAACACCGGTTGGTTGAGAATAAGCAGTCATGATGCGCCAATTTTACTATGAATTTATATTATAATACTAAGAAGTGTGTGCAATCGGAATATGTATGCCATACTAAGAGGGTTGGATAGAACCTTAATAGAAATTTCCAAAAGCTTGAACTTCCTATAGTTTTGGAAGAGGTTATTATGGTTGTGTACAATAAACAAGAAGGCCTTGGACTAATTTACACAAAATATTAATGTTCATGTTAAAGTAAGTAGGTCAATTATCACAAGAAACAGTATTTGTGAAAATGTGTTCGCTTTACCAATATTGGATGCTAAGCACAAAAAATTAAATGTATTTGCATGCTTTGGAACTCTTTTCTTCACTGCAGATAAAATTTTGATCCAATAAAAAATGGAAGATTGCACGTTAAGAGCATGTTATGCTGTTGAAAATCTCTTTAAGTATAACTTAGAGCTTTCACAACTTCACCAACTAAACTATTATATTCCTTGACTAGCTAGAGACCCGAAAATATTTTCCAATTTGCTTGAAATGAAAGATTTCTAAGGAAGATCCAAATGCTATTTTAAAAAAAAGGTTAATCCGGCCCACTTTCGCATTTGTTGATATTTTATTTCTTTACTTTTGATTCAAGAAAAAGATAACAGCATGTAGTGACACTAATGTCTGCATTTGAGTTAACTATTTATTACAAGCTCCCATACTCTATAATGCGAAAAACAAGATATACATTTAAGATAGACGATACAATTCAGCTTGTAACACTGCCAAGAAGTTTGAACAAAGAATTAATACTTGATCATCAAGGGATCAACATTCAACTGAGAATATCACAGACAGACCACAATATCACATACGAACTAACAAGATTACCTGTCCATCTTCATTTCTTTTGCATTCATTACTTGCTTCAAAAATGAGATGACGGAGTTAAGGTCGGTTCCTGGGTTCTTCTTTCCCTGTCAATCACCAAAACTGCACATCACATAAAGTATCTTTCTCAATACTGAAGGCACGCTAATGTATCTCATAGAAGATAAAAGACTTTTGCTCTAGCTACTAACTAAATGAACATGTTTATGAGCAAATCTTTTTTATGCAAGGATTTCATGTTGTTTATAGATAATCTCAACATATTATAAGCAATACTAGGAAACAAATTGCATAGTGAGGCACCAGGCAAGCAAATTGAGAGCTTTTGCACCGCTATATTAACTGCTACAATTTACAGGAAAATATATCCATCAAATATCTAGTGAGTCAACAGTTTCCTCCACAGATCCATACCCAGCCAAAAGCAAATGGAAGGTTATTTCCAGTTCCCAAAGGCACTGTAGCAATTGGTGGAGGCTGAGATAGTTTGAGATCAGATACAACTCCAAGAAGCCAGCCAGCTGTGCCATCTCCACCTGCAACCTAAATATAAAATTCAATGTCAGTACTTTGTGCTGGAAAATAATCATCTAGCCGTCTGGTGAAGTTACGCGAAAATCCTGTTGAATCATGAACCAACTGAAAGAATTCAACTCACAATTATTCTCATTCTCTCTTCAGTTTTGGCAGCAAATTGATCACCACCACTCTTCAGCTTTTCTATATTCAAGTACACTCTACGTAAAACACTATCAGGAGCTTCTTCTCCCAAATCAAAAACCTGAAATGTTAACCAAGAAGTCCAGACTTCAATCAAGTAATAAATCAACTAAACCTCAGTCCCAAACATGTCTATCTGGTCTAAAACATAAACAGACAAAAAAAAAAAATTGCAGTTATTCCTTTTGCATATTTGAATCAAAGGAAAGAGCTTAAGTACCTGATATTTGTTAAGAAGATGGCGAAATGTACGAAGAAGTTCTCCTCCAAGTTGACCTCCGCTTTTAGAATTAATAAACACTAGCACAGGGCATGTAGGTACATTATCAGGTAAACCTATATGCCTACTCTTATTCGGAGCATCCGGTGCAAGTATGTAGGTAGGAATATAAAAGTCTCTATGTATGTTGTCATTGAGCTCGGACTCAGAATTCGCCATTAACTCTACCTGCAGCGGCATTATTAACAAATAAATTACTCAAAAAATAAGCA